TTTTTTTGAGTACCATCGTAGAAAGTATACGTAACCAACAGAAAACTGCAACCTTTCAGTTTTATGTTTTATAGGTGTTTTTAATAATAAAATTTAGAATCGTCGAGGGATAACTACTTGCGATTAAAGTATTAAATTATAACCAGAACTTTATTGAAATGTAGAAAGATTAATCACGAGATCGATTAATAAAATAAACGTAGTAATTGATAAGATACGAGAACTTCTTTACATTTGAATTTTAATAAATTGTCATTTGGGAGTGTAAATGAAAGAAAATATTTATTCAAAAATAGAATAGAGAGATTGCTGACGAATTAAGGTCCATTTAAACGGTGTTGTTTTTTGACGTAAAATAAGCTTACAAGGAAAGACATTAAGGGATTCTAGATAGAGAAGACTGCGGTTTCCACGGGATAAGTATGGTCCACGGGAAGCAGCATTTTCCTCGCTTTAGAATGAGAAAACCATGGTGTCTCTACCTTAATAAGATAATACCCAATTCCATTCTATTATTACATAGGTAAACCATGTTTTACTACGATACTCTTTCATTAATATTATTTTCGACTCTTCCTTTTATCGTATCAAAGATAATCATCGATTAAAATGCCAGCGATTGTCAAAGTTATGCAACAGATATGCTCGTTTCGTGTATTTTATACGATATTCTGTACGATCATCATCTCCTGACGAGTAAAAACGACAGATAACTATGACTAACGTGATAAATCACGCGATGAACGGAGTCTCGTTCGCGTATCGTTTCACCGTTGTAAGACACGCTAATTAAACAATCGAATTTGTTTTGGTCGCGGCCAGTAAATCGCGTGTAATCAACCAACAATTAACCAGAGCTCTATGAACGCAGCCGATGTGTCAGTTATTTCCATTCACACGTTGCTATTCAAGAGTTGTACAACAGGGAAAGCAAAATGGTGGGAAGGTGTTGGCAACGGTTAAGCAGGCTTTCTGCACAATAATGACCAGCTATTGCACAATTGGGAATTACGCGCTGAATTTGAACCACTGCATGTTTAATTCAGAAGCCAGAGATTATTAATCTGATTTTCCACTTCTGTCGCTATGTACGTTCGTATAGCGAGGATATGTTGAACATTATCAACGCGTTTCATCAAACATCAACGAACCATCTAGGCGGATATGAGTTAGACATTGGTGAGAAAAATGAGAAGGTTTTTCCACGTGAACAAATGATACAAGTTTTTAAAACTCATATTGTCTGTTACATGGAACGTAGAAAAGTTGTCGACAATATACAGAGTGGTCCACGTAACTGGGACAAGTGGTATGGTTGCAATTAAAAAATTATGCGGAAGAAAATATGCGAATCATTCAAAAAATACCATCTTTCTCGGAGAATATGTTTTTTCACAGGCGTAATGATGCATCGTAGTTTTCTTACGTACAATTTCTTTTGCAGGTCCTTTTGTTATTCTTCGTTAAAAATATCGAGAAACGATTGGTCTATAAGACGTTTTAAATAAAGGTTTTCGTTAACTCTAACGAAATTATTCTGAAAGTGCTTTGATGTTGCTTCAATACCAACATTTCACATTTTGTACATTAACTTCGATATATTCAATTTCCTACTTCCAGGAACAAATTTCTTTCACAAATTTCTCGCAGCAGAGATACGGAAAGAAATTCCTTATCAGCCAGCGAATTAACGAAAGAAGGAGTCCTAGTGGCGCTTTCATGCGAAAAGAAGCATCGTCGTTTTTCTCATAGAATAAATGTTCTATCGCGCGCGAGTACCCTTAAGATTCGTTGTAACGACCTATCTTGAAATTGTATCAAAATGAAATTTCGCGGAAGACCTTTGGAATGGCCGAATCGGACAAAAATTCGCGCCTCTCCTCTTCCTTCCCTCCGGTCACGTTTCCAGGCAACGAGGTCCTTTCGACTCGCGTCGAGGACCGCGCGCTGTTATCAAAAAAAAAAAAAGAGAAAAGACAGAGATAGGAAACCAGGTCCTCTCGCGTTCTTCTTCTGTTTTACTTGTTCGTGGAAGATAAAAGGAGGGACGATCGTTACCCGTTCCCAACGAAGAGACCACGTAAATTTCTCGCTTTGCGTGGCGATGTAACAATCAGAACGAGTCGAATCGGATCGATCGTAAAACCCCTTTCTCTGCCTGTCTTTGAGCGTTTCCCCGTAACACACAGACGATCCTCCAGCCATCTTCGAGATGATCCGGTTTGTCCTTCTCCTCAGCCTGGTCTCTCAATCGACAATAGCCCCGATCGCTTGAATTTCGAAGCAATAGCTCGCGAATGCAATCGTCTATACGGTCTGCGGGCACGGAGCGTATTCAATGAAATTCGATTATCCCGCACGATCTTATCGCTCGAGGGCAGGTGCAAGATCGTAGCAGGAACCTAGGTACATCCAATTTCCGGCGAAGAATTACCTCTCTCTCGATCCTAAGACACCGAGGAACGCAATAGTAACCGCGATTTAACTCGCCGGTCCTTGGCTACACCACTGATTCGTGCTTCACTTCGCAGTTCTTTTGCTTACACGTCTTTTCTTCCAACTTGCTTGTTCGTTCACTATTCCGTTGTTGACTTGAACTTGTAGGCTTAATTACTGTTAGACTTTATTTGGAGATTCTGTTCATTTTCAATTTTGTGTGCCAGTTTCAGTTTTGAGTAAGTTCAGTTCTAATTGTAAGCGTGGAGTTTTAAGATTAAAGATAAATAAATGTAAATTAACGGATTAAAACTGCTTCGATTACTCTTTGAGCACTATAAATTGCCATATTGCCTTTATTAAACTTTATTCACTATTTTTGCGTATTCCATTGGATACGTACGCATTTCCTTTCTCGTGCTTATTCTTCTTTTACTCTCTATCTATATTTAGCAGTCGATATATCGTCTACAGGATAATTATATTATCTTTCTCTTTTTCCAGTATTCTGCTTTGTAGACTATATTCGTCGCGCCTTAGCTCGTTTCTGCTGTTATTTAAGTTGCAATTTATCCTTACTTTCTTTTTTCCACTCCGTTACTGTCTGCAATCATCCTCTCGCTTTCCACCTTCTCACTGCTTCTTCTTCTCCGTTTCTAATACAGATACGAGTTTCCCTTTTGCCACGTTGAAATTATGTAAAGAAGGATACGATGGCTATCTTCGTGCATACTCGCTGCCACCGAACTCTTGCTTTCCTCTTTCTTCGCTTCTTTATTTCTTTCTTTTTGCTTCTTCTTCATTCGTTCTCCTTTGCCTTTGGTAGCCTAACCATGCTGTGTGCATTTGGTTTGAGGTGGGACGTCCTTAAGATTGCAACTCGCGTCGGATAGGACCGCGGCTTCACATTGTGCGATTCACAGAATACACTCCGTGCCTAAGTGGCGGGAATATGATGGCTTTATCGTGGTCTAGTTGCCGGAGGAATTTTATTTCTTTGTTCTATTCCTTGTGCTTTGTCAATGATGCATTTCGTCTCTCGGCGTCGTGAATTTTAAGAAATTTTTATGTCTTAATGTTTCAAAGAATTCTGTTCACCTTTCCTCTTTCTTCTTTTCCTTGAAGAACAGAGGGAAATACATGGTTAAGCACGTAATTGAACGCCATCAATTTCGTTTCGATGGATCTTGTTTCAGCACGTAAAATGATAGCTATTTATATTGAGACTTCAAAAAGATCTAGAATTTTTATTTTCAGAATTTCTAGTATTTTTCGGTTTTATAGAAATTTTAGACTTCGCAGGCTTTTAATGTTTGACACATTTTTTAGAGATTTGAAGATTTGCGAAATTCGTATAAAATAAACGTTTCTTCATCAATTACATTTCCTAAATTCTTTACGTTACTGAACAACAAATTCATGTGTTTTGATAACACTGTGTAAGTCTCCATACACGTGTGTTATGAATTCCCAAGCTTCTATCTCCATATATAAAATAATTGATTCGTGAAAACACGCACGACTTATGAAGCATCAAACATTAATTTGTTTTCACGGGAAAATAAAGGTTGAAGGGTTCAATAAAAGGGCTGTAATATATTCTTACAGTGAACGATAATTTTCAAGCGCTAAAGAGTAATTGCTTTATTATTAGAACCGGTAATACTTTTGAAGTATTTATATGTACAATACATTTTTTCAAAATTTCAATCGCTACAACTTTTATAGTAAAGAAGTTCAAGCATTTTTAATGAAAAATATTGTCTAGATTTTGCATTTTACCACATTTCGCGTAGGAAGAGAATTTTGTTATGACAATGTAATGATACGAGTTTGGAAGTATATTTATTTTGAATATGACGGCAGGAAACAAGTTACAAATTTGATATGTGTGACATGGCGTTGAATATGTTTTACGTATGATGATGTAACTCAATTTACAGCTTCACGGAGGGACTTATTTAAATATTTCGAAGCATTGATAAACGGTTGGTTATAGATAGAATGATTATAGATCGTGAAAGAATCACTAAATAAAGAAATTATTATACCAAGAGAGATTGGCAATCTTATTTGTGAGTTATCGAGTTTCTCCTAGATCAAGCTTATCATAAAATCTATTCGACAATTATATAAAAAGCAACAAAAATTATCACAGACAAGATCTCCATATTACGCTCCAGACGATTCACTCAAAACAACGGATAAAGAATCACGTTAACATTGGCGATAAAATCTTTACCATTCATCGAGATGTTGTTTATCTACTTTTTTCCTATCTCCTATATTAAATTTTCTATATTAAATCGTTGTAAATAAATGACCTCAACTATTATTACACCAGGGGGATAATTAGATCGATAGTGGTGGACATTGATAAATCGTGGTGCATGGTACGTGTTCAGAAACGTGTAAGAATCTCTAAAAATAAGGCAGAACCCGATAGACGGGAATTAGCAGAATCCATTCCTCGGCTATGAAGATAATCTTTGGATTACGAAGGGTGGCTGAGATAAATCTTTTCGGTGAAAATAGCTAGTGAAACGATATTAGGGCGTACTCACAGTGTACGTGCAGCATCATTCGTTTGCTGACTGATGGTGGTACTCCGTTACTCGCGATGCACAGGTAGGTGCCCATCTCGCTTCTGGTTACTTTCGACAAAGTCAGCATTTCCCCTTCAGCAGTAGCTACTGCAATACAGAGTCAGACGGGCGGAATTAAAGATTCTGAAAAATTTTGTGAGCCGCTTGTCGAATGGGTGATTTCTTGAGAAACCGAGACGCAAACTTACCAATCTGAATTATTTACGTAGGTCTGAACTTTTTTTTTATTAAACGAATACAGTGATATTTTATGGAAAATTAATTTGTAAAGGTGCTGTCAGTTAGAGGAATAAAAGTGAGAAGTTTATTTGAGACTGGTTGCTTAAAAAATTGTTTATTCGAACTCGTGCAAGTAATATTTTCGCTGATTCGAAGGATTTCTCGTTCGAATAAATTTGCAAGTTTGCTTTTGATGAATCAATACGAAAGATAAAGACTAAGTATATAGTTTTTAAAAACTTGTCTGTTTGCCTTATTGTCTGTTTGAATTTCAGATTTTTGACATCTAAAGTGTAATGCTTCAATTGAATCTCGATGTTAATGGAAAGCTACTTACACGGTTGATTCGTTCAACCTTATCGAGTAAATAATCGAATTGGCTCTATTACTAATCAAACACATTGGATTAGATACGATACGAAGCTTAAGGTTCCGCTATCGTCCCGTTCAATTCAACACATCGATACTACTTGCTCGAACTCCTCACGAAGTGCGAGCGAACAACAGAGGGTGAAAATGCAGTTTCACCTTCGTTTGCGAATCAGCATTTCTCTCGACGGAATGAAAATACTCGATTGTTTTATGCAAAAGAATGCATTATTGTCTCTAAAAAATATCATCTTATTTCTTCCTATATTCCCGATAATAAATATTCTTTTAAAAATTAAACCTTTTTTTGTTGAGGAATCCATGAACTCTATATTTGAGTAACTAAAATAATCTCGAAAAATATCAAAGAAGAGAGGAGTAAAAGTAGACGTGTTCTTCGAACAGACATGCTTGCGTTACAAGTCTTTTGTACTGAAACTCGATCTTACCTTTAAATTGGTACTATTTCTCAAAAACGTATACTTGAATTCTTCTATGAAATTCTACGAATTCAACAGACGAAGCGGTTCGAAATGGAAATAAAACTGGAGGGCTTCACAAGATAATGCGAGTAATGTGAGTTTATTCGTATACTGCTGAAATTTTTATTCTTCAAATTATTTCTAATATTTCGCTATCTAACATAAAAAAAATGCGCGTGCTTTCCTTGAAAAGAAACTTCAAGAAACAACGTGGGATCTTTTTTCACAAATTGACGCGTGGTTTCATATTTGTCACGTCTAGTGAATGAGATTAGAATTCATATGTTCTATGGTATTATCTTACGACGTTAAAGTATGAATTATTTTCCTTAACTTGTTTACGTCTATACTGTGCATGTCGAGTTTGAAAATTATTTCTTCGCTGAGAATGTATCAAATTACTGGTTCATTCAATGGCTGTCAAAATTCTACTTAAGTCGGCATTGTGACAAGTATCGAGGCGACGAATATTTGCATGATTCGATGCAACGAGAAGGAAAACATTGAAATATGAGTGGCGACAGTTTCGTTTCGCTCACGAGTTCAGTAGCCTGAGGAATTATCCTATATCTTGCACTTTAAAATCGATTTCATAATCACCAAAGTATGAAAATATGCGAAAATTATCATGCAAACTATATTACGAATGTGAAAAAATTTGTCGCAAAAAGAAAAAATTATGTTGGGATGTTTTAATTCGTTGAATGTACCATCATACGTTGAATGCGTCGACTTCGTAAAAGTTAATTTATAAAAGTTCGTTTGATTTTTGCTGTAATTTATTCCATTTTTAACACAGAAAAATTTCTATTTTTTGAAATTCTAGTCACAAGATGCATGAATTTGCTGAAATTTCGTTTGTACCACATATCAGTTGACACAGTTGCTTCGATCAGAAAAGGGGAGATCTTCAAAAAGTTGTGATTTATGAATTGAAATGTACGAGGTGAAGTTGACGAATTGACTTCAATTTCGATATTATCCCTGTTTTCCGATTTCAATCTGATGTTTTATACGAACCGCTTCACTTACATCGAAAATATATTATCATATTATATACACGTCATTGGCATCGCCGTTTCTCAATCTTTTCGCATACTCAAGGTCGATTCAGCTAACATATAAATCCTCATTTATTCAACGTTGATTGACTATAATGTAAATTATACGGTATCGTTATTTTCAAAATTGCTGATATTTTTGTATGAATACTGAAATCATTGATAAAACCGAAGGATGCGAAAAGATTATTATTAATATAAATCACAAATAAAATTCCAAAAGCCCATACATATTTTCCATGAAATATCCAGTAATTTTATCATATTTACATATAATACCTGTCATATAGAACCGTGAAAGAAAATTTAATAATGAAAATGGAGCTGAAATAATTGAAATATCAGGTAGAATAATATTTTCGAGTTGTTTAATCCGAGTTACACAATTGGTAATCAAATATGCGACTTATAAAGAGTATTATCTTTTTCAAAAAATGATCGTATTAAAGAAATACAACCAGTGCAAAAATACTCGACGTATTTCCAACTGATGTAATGAAGATAAAAACCGAACTTAACTGGAGACGCAATCACGGGTTTGTAGGTTTTGTAAACATACTCACTTTTCGTTTTGCCACCGGACGATCCGGCACGGGAAATAATCTCGGCGCCATCTTCTCGCTTCCATACGATCTCAGGTTTTGGATAGCCGCGAGCCTTGCAGACCAGTTTTGCGGATCCGCCCTCAGGTACCATCAAGTCGTTCGAGGTCTCTTCGGATATTATGTCCGGCGGTATCACCACTTCTAGAAACGCGCTCTGTAAATTCAATACACCAAGGTATCGGTATTATTATGCTCTATTGCAAAGAGGATATGACAATATTATCATATAATCCGAAAAAGGATAATTCTCTAATTTCATGAAATCAATGAATTATTCTCGATCCAAGGAAATCGTGATAATATATTTTAACTTCTGGTCTCGAAGACGTTTAATTATTAAGCAGATTTTAATTAAGCTGGGACAGGAAACGGTCGTATTTCTGCCATGTAAATTCCGAAAATTTTAGAACATAATTCGTTGGAATTTAGCCACCTCCGTCTATGCGGGTGCAGACCGTCGGAAAACACTACTTTCACCAAGCACAGAACGGATTTCACTTTGAAATGAATGCCTTCCATACCAAAGCATTGCGTACAATAAAAATCTGACCCGGATCTACGGTAAAAAGATTCTCTACTTCTCCGACCATTTTCCTTTCCTTTCCCACTCTTTCTCCGCCCTTCTTTTTTTCTTTCTTTCTTTATCTTTCTTTCATTTCCTTTTTTTTTCTTCTTATTGCACGACTTGTTATTTCAGAGGATAATTTATTCGTACCTGACTCTTCATAGGATCCGTGTTGACTTGACACATGTAAATGCCTCGATCTTCTCGGCGTACCCCACGAATATTCAACGTCCACGTGTTGTAGTCACTGTGTGTTACTGATAAACGCGCGTTGTTCGTGATCACGTGTTCGTGAATCGCCAGGACTGCCTTGGTGTCTGCTTTGATCCACGCCACCTGGCCTCACAAACCCATTTCTTAACACACTGCGCTATTTCTTCGTCCATGTGCACGGTACCGCTCGCACGGCACTGGCGAAAACTTATCGCTAACAATATGCACAGACTCGATGTTTTAATACCTTAATTGCTAGATAATTCCGCGTAGAACTCATTTTCGAAACGATCTCGACTCGTTTCATACCCTTTGTCATGGAAATGAAACATGCTCAAATTCGAGTTTATCCATAATTAATCGATGAAAGTGATTGCTCGCCGTTAAAATTTCTTTTTGTGAATGAAAAGTTCATAAGAACGAAACTAGCGATTATAAATATATTGTTACTTAAGACCATCCTTTAATACCTCTTTTAATATTCTTTAACGTTATAGGGTATGATTTGGGATAGTTTTTATGTAATAGTTGACATTTTTATAAAAGTAATCTTTAAGCCATTACGTTACCTCTTGGATTAATTATATATAAAAAAATTGGGAAAAGAAAGCCGAACGAATGGTCGAACTGGAAAATGTTTGGAGGTACCATTTTCATTGTCGCTATTTTCAACTAGTTTTATCGCGTTTTAAGAGCATTAAAAATTTCAAACTATTGAACAATCTTACGCAGGAAAAATATAATTACGTAACGTTGCGCTCATGAGAAATATGATACGAGAAGATGCGTTATAGAAAGATAAACTTCATTATACCGTAGTTTGTCTTTCCCTCTGGTTTTTCTATCCTTAAACAGAAAATACGACTCGTTCCAATTACACGATTTATCTTGCATTTTAGAATAGTGAGAATAATATTCCTTCCACTATTTTACTTTTCCCGTTTACACAAGTATCTATAAATTAAATTTCGCGCTTGATTTAACTATCGATTGTACGAATGTTTTTACAACGCGTTATTTTATAGAGATTCTTTTAAATTGGCAAGATCAAAGGAATTCACAATCCTGTCAAAGAGTAATTAAAGTTTCTCTCTAACATTTAAGCATGCTCCATTTCCGCATGGATTTTATAACGCTATAAAGGTTTAATCAGCTTCGTAATAATAAAAGGACGAATTGATTCTTTTTGCAATACATATGCTTGCAGAAGAACTTAACAAAGATTTATTTATATGGAATATACTGTTTAGTACAGAATACTTTGTTTTCTCAGAATACTGATATTAACGTTAACGTAGATGTTTTCTTAGATTCTTCTGCAAAATATGTATCGAACCAAGCATTTTAATCTCTTAGTATTTTCCTGCAAAACTTATTTATTAAATATCAGACTTCTAATATTTTTATTTTCTTCTTTTATACTATAATTAATTTTTTTCTGAATTTATTATATCTATTTCCCTGTTCAAAGTACCTAAAGAAACTTCCTATATCGTGTTTTCTCAATTTCAATTTCTGAGATCGTTAATTCTTAACATCTCGCTGTGTAGGATACTTTTTATCTTATTTTAAAAACGTATTATATCTGCACATATTAATGATATTAGATTATATATATAAACTATAATTCTTTACATTGAGAAATCCTACGACGACTAAACTACGAGACACCTACAATATCAACGAGGCATTTCACATCATATGCTTAAACTTAAATTCAATCGATTATTTCTCAGATAAACTTTCTTTAATTGTTCTTGATGATTGTCAGATTTTATATCTTTATACAACAGAGTAATCTTCTCAATAGATAGACTTTAATTTTAATATTGATTAGTGCCATCATTACAATTAAAAAGAAATATTTCAAACTTAATTAACCAATATGCTTAGAAGTGCGCTTTGTTTAAACACTTTATCGACCCTAAAAACCCAGATATTTCACCGCAATGCGAAAAATATTATCCAATTTTACTAAGCTATACCGTGGAGGCAACAATCCGAGATACAGTAGACGAAGTTCATTTTCCAACGTCAACATTTTCCTTCCGAATGCAGCTCGGTCTCCTATAGATGTACGCGAAGTTTTGGCGGGAAGTTTTCTTATTTCGCATAGATATTATTGGCACGAAATTGAACCGGCGGCATGTCGAATATTTGACCTCGCGTCGCTTTGATAGGCTATCTATCAACCAACAAAAGAGGTCTGCGGTTCTTATCGATAACTCGAAAGCGGAGTGTACAGAGAAGGCAGCTGGAGAGGTTTACGGAGAAGCTGTGAGGGTGAGGTGGAGGATCGCGTTTGGAAGCGGCGGTGGAATGGAGAGAGAGAGAAAGAGAGAGAGAGAGAGAGAGAGACAGACAGAGAGAGACCAACCAGTAGCTAGAAGCTAGAGAAAGCGGGGTGGAGGGCTTTGAGTGTTTGGTAGTGACGGCCCTGTGAGTGCCTCCACTTATAATACATTATACGAGGATAGTAAACCCTCTTCTCCCTTTCCTTCTACTTGCCCTTCGCCTTCCTGAGCAGCTCCAAAAACGAGCTCTCTTCGGGAACTGAAAAAGTCCCCCGGACGACAGATGCGCGCGATTCTGAAACATTTATGCCACTTTCCCGCCCCTCGGAGTCCTATCGTCCTCTGCGATGGACCTTTTGCTTTTACGTCGTTCTTTTCGAGATTCATCGATGGATGATTAATCTGTTTCGGAATATCGAGCTATTATTAAAGTTATTACTTGGTATTTGGTATGATACGATATTGTTTAACACTTTTCAATTTGCGGCAATATCTGGTTTAATTTATATCTTCCTTTAGGGTATTAACATTTAAAAAGATATCCAATAATACAATATTTATAAAACGATTGCACACCATCAAACCGTAGTATTGTATTATTTCATTTTGATAATTTTATAGTTTCATAAAAAGCACCACCTTTACCATCCGCTGGTTGTAATTAACGGTTTCTCATTGCCTACGTTACTGTTTTATTTAAACAGCTCCACAACCCTTTCATAAATTTAAGCTCCGCGTACACGCCTAAGGAAACTGCGTCGAAACACGGAACGCTTGTCGGTTCCGAGGCTCCACCTCTTTCTTTCGATCTTTCAACGAGCTGGCTAGTCGAAATATTCAGGGAAAGTCGAAAGTCGCGGCACGATCTTCGCTCGGAGGATCGTATACACGAAAGAAGGGAAACCCCTTTCTCGTTCGGAAAACTCTTCGCCGTTTGGCCGCGAAATCCACCCCCGAGGAAGGGTTGAGAATTATTGGATTTAAAAAGCCGCGTGAAACGTTAAAATTGTTTATTCTTAAGACTTTTTAGTATTTTTGGAGACGCTTTGTCATTTTGAAATATCGTACCGTTTTAGAGCTACGAAATTAGTTAAAAGTCATGGTGAAGTAGACGTGACCGGAAACATTAAGTGCCGCAGCAAAATTAGCTTTTTCCAGTGCTGTTGCGTCTTTGAGAACAAGAAAGTAGAAAACATGAGAGAAAACAAACTTGAAGGAGCTTGCACATATAGGAGAGGGGGGGGAGGGGAGGGGGAGAGCAATAACGATGGAGAAAGGAAAAAGAATGATATGGAAGAGGAAAAGAATGATCTAGCAACGGTGTCTCGCGAGCAGTCGCAAATTTGCAGCACAATGAGCAGTCCACGACTTTAAAGGGCTGAGCTCTATGGAAACGAGTTTATCTTAAGCGAAAGACGCCTTCCGCCTAATGCAGTTTTCCCTACGCATTTTCAACTGGCGATCGGTCTGGCGGCCTCGTACCTTTGTCGAGGGTGAAAAATAAGGACTAGTAAAGGAACTTGAAGCGAAAGAAAAAGTGAAGAAGAAAACTAGAAGAAAAAGGATAGGAAGCGTGTACACGGAGAGGAAGATAGAAAGCGAGAGAGAAGAATAGATAGGATAAGAGGATGGGAGCGTGGATAGACGACGATGGAGCAGACGAAAGGGGAAAGAGAGCGAAATAGAGGAAGGGGGAAGGACGTGGAACCCTAGTCAGATATAATATCACACTATGTGCACCTATCTACCGTGGTCTCCATTCTCGGCCCTCTTTCATATGCAAAACCATCGTCGGCGCTCTATTGTGGCGCATTGTGGGATCAGGAGCCTCGTCGGTCCAGTCTACCACACCTCGTTTATTTCCCGCCATCTTCTCGCTCATACCCTCCTTCCACGACCACCTAACTTCCCTCTTTCGTCTTCTTTTTCATCCTTCTTCTCGTTTTCTTCTCTACCTTATCCCCTTTTCTCTGTTCGTACGACTGCATTCTCCCCTGTTCACCGACTATTCTTTTATTTTCTCGACTTCTGTTTTCGGTAGCGAGCTACGGCTGTTCCTTTCAACGGCATGCAGATAAATGGATAAGCTTGCTAATTAAAAGTTTCGCAGGGCCCGATCCCTTTCTTCGTATCCTGCTGCTGCTTCCTGTTGGTCACCCATCCCTCTTTCTCGTCACCCCTCTTCTCACGCTGTCTAATGTTATTTCATCGTCTTCCTATTCTCCTTCATCCGTTTCCGTTTCTTCTGCATGCATTTGGCCTCTCTGCTCGCGCTTCGTTATATTCAAACGGCCACCGGTTCTATTTGGTTGCCGCTGCCGGCCGGCTTTACGCTCGAGATTTCAGAAAGCATTATTCCCTCACTAGCTTTTGTTCCTCGGCCTCTGCTTTTTGCAACTGGGGACAACTTTAAATGTTAGTATTTATTACTGGAGAGTGCTCGGTTCGCAGCAGATTACTGTGACGGTTTTACACACGCAGCATCGCGTGATTAACCGATTGTATCAAGCGACCCGTATGATATTGCGGCTTACGCGTCTACGGCTACACGTGACCGTCAGTTTTCTTCGTCATCATCGGCTGTTTTCATCGGCAGAAGGGTTGCACGGTTTGTTGAATTCCGTCGCCTGGTTAACGATTCACCTTGCTTCGGCTTCTTGGCTATTTTATTTTACTTGTTTTCGGATTTATTTCTTCTATTTATTTTTCCTTCCTGTCGAAAGGTCTCGTAGCTTTGCAGTAATTAGCCACGAAAGTTTTTTTTATAAAAATATCATCCTTCTACTATGGTATCGTGCCTATATTATGCGAAATGAATTTTAGGTTGCT